GGTTTTGGAGGTTCTTAAATATCAAACCGAGTACTATTGCTTGGTTGTGTTTGAATAATAGTTTGTGCGCTATGAAGTGTAGAAGACCTGTAGAAGACAGAACATTAGTCAAATTTCAGTGGGCTCCAAAAACCAAAACCCCTCAAGCTATCAACATTAAGGAGGCTGGGAACTCCACCCACTCTGTCAGGGAATTTTTACTGATCAGTTCTAGGCATGACTGTTTCTCAGGTCTCCTGTATTTTCACACAATGAATGCAATCTGTTTTTTCAAAGGTTGTATGAGTTTGATCCCTATTTTTTAACTTAGAAAATGGATTCTAAGTTAAAAAAGTCACCTTAAAGGCGCATGTGACTACTGCTTAGAAGGTGAAAACTCTAAAAGGTGGAACTAGCATAGATAAGCTGTAATATGCATAAGAATGCATGCAAGTAGTTGTAATAAGGGACTGTTGATTTTTTTATGGGGTAGGGAGCGGCAGGATATGACAATTTACAACACTTAAAACTTATTTAGTGCAACTTTCCATGACACATGATCAAATGCACTTTACAATAAGACTAAAAATGAATAAAATTTAAAAGCAGATAAAAAGATTAAAAATGAAATAAAATGATAGTAAATGATAGATAATAAAATAAACAATAAAAACTCTACTACAAATTAAAAGCTTATTTAAAAAGATATGTTCTCACATGGCATTTAAAATTTGACAGAGAGTCAAGGCTGTATATCTCACCGGGTAGATTGTTCCAGAGCCTTGGGGCAGCATAACAGAATGCTCTACAACTAAGTGTTGGGAATATCTTGCCTCTTGGAACCTCAAGCATGACTTTTTTGCTGGATCTGAGGGAACATTCTGTTGATTTCTTTTGGCTGATTAATTTACAAATATAATCTGGTGCCATGCTGTGAACAGCTTTAAAAGTCATCAGTAAAATCTTGAACTCAATGCATTACTTGATGGGAAGCCAGTGAAGCTGAGATAAGACTGGCGTTATGTGGCAAAACTTAGGTTGCTTAACATCTATAATCAAAAGTGTCAAAGGCAGCAGTCAAGTCAAATAACACTAGTAGAACAGCATGCTGAGAATTCATTTCCATCAGGAGGTCGTTAGTAACTTTCAAAAGTGCTGTTTCTGTACTATGGTTCTTTCTGTAGGCAGATTGTACTGATGGCTAAAGATCATGTTTTTTCACTTTGAAGAAACACAGCTCTCTCAGTTACTTTAGAAATGAAGGAAAGATTGCTTACAGGCCAACAATTCTTAAAAACAGGGTGAAGACCATTCTTAAGAATCGGTCCAACCAAAGCCTCTTTCCATGCTGAGGGAAAATGACCACTTTCAAGTGAAATATTAACCATTTTGGTTAGGGCTGGTAAGAGGACATCAATGCACTTGACAACTAGAGGTTTAGGTATAGGATCCGTTGTAGGTTGTTTCGCCCCCACTGAGTCGATTAGCCCCCAAGAAAAAGTCGATTAGCCCCCAAACTAGAAGTCGATTAGCCCCCAATTGAAATCGGTATCAGACTTAGTAGATTAGACTTTTGTTACAATTTAGTTCGTTTAGGTTTTATTGGGTTTCTGTTTCTTTTAATTTTTATTTCAAAATAATAACTCGTGTTGATCATTGACTTTTGAAGATGTGGTGGCTCCTAAAGGAGCCGTTGGTTTTTCTGCTAAGTCCAGTGACCTAGCAGGTGGTTCAGAAGCTTGGCCCATTGATATATGAGCAAGCTCTTAGAAGCTGTCTGGCATTCTTGTCCCCGCTGCAATATTCATCCCATAGGCTAAATATCTTGGCCTGCTGTTTCCTGTACTTTCTTCGCTGTACCCGCTTCAGCTTTTTCTCAGACACCAGCCGGATGTGAAGGGATGTCAGCCGGGCTTCTCGATGAAGCAGATCGATCAGGAGATACAGAGGAAGCTGAGATCTGCTGGAGGCGCGACGGTGAAGTCCATGATGCCAGCCCTGTATGTCGTTGTTTGTTCATACGGACCGTAGGAAGACGGTCCAGGTGGACGGTTGGATGAACTGTCTAAGGTTTCCCTCCTCGGTTACTTGCGACTCCAAACGCTCAAACTGTGGTACAATCTCGTCTTCAGGAAGGCACGGCAATGCCATCACGCGACGGATGAAGTCATGAGTTCGGCGGTCATCCCTGTAGGACTGTTGAAGACCCAAATCCTGGACCTGAAGTAAGTAAGTAAGAAAAAATAATTAAGGTTTTTCATTAAAACATGACCTCGTTTCAAAACTCATCGTTTCAAAATAAAGGTTATCTTATCATAAACAAAAATCCTCAATATTTCATAATTTGCATATCACATTTGATATTTGTTTTTCTCCGTACTAAGTTACAAACGATCAACCGGTTTATACATTTATACATGTATCTTATCTTATCTTATCTTATCTTGAACATTTCACATCTCACATTTTATATTTCATACTAAGTGTAAAAGTTACAATTTTTCCTACTAACCTTTCTCCATAGAGCTTGAGTCCAGTGGAAGACACATCCTTTGATCTCAACTTCTGGCAGCAAACGACGAATCGCTGACCACATAGCCCGCTCGAAGTCTATGATCACCCTCTTAACTGCTGTAGGCGTCAGTAGAAATTCCAGAACTTTCTTTAGCACCTTAAGAGAATCCAAAGAAATAAAGTTATGCCAGAGAACTCATGAATGTATAGAGTTAAGCCTAAAAGAGTAATGAAAACATACTAGGAGAAAATTCGTGGACAATTTTGTCAGGGCAAGTCACTTAAAAGAGAATTACAGTGATTTGTCACATACTACGAGAAAATTCGGGTAAAGTTTTGTCAGGGCAAGTACTTAACTTAATGTAAGAGAATTACAGTGACTTTTGAAGGATTTTTGATATAAGTAATGTACTATTACTGGTATTTACCTGTTTATAATCACTCTTCTTGCGTCCGGACATGAGAACAAACAGCAGAGGCACTTGTTTAACGTAGTCCTCATACCGGATGAAGGCGTTGATGGACAGCAGCTGGGTGAATGGATGGCGGCAAAGTTTGAAGGTCCCGTCAACGTACCAAGTTTTGGCTTTGCTGAGGTGGTGAAGCTGCTGCTCCGTTGTGAAAATCAGGTGTTGGCGGTCCCGGACATGGACGTCGGCACAAAGGAAATCATCAGGTATGTGGTCCTCCTCTAGGTCGAACTCAAGGCTGGTGGGCTCTTTCGGTCATAGCTTCTGCCGAACTCTGTTAGCTGCATGGGCCAAATGAGACAGTTTTAATAATAATAATACAAACATCAGTTTTAAGAAAAAAAAAACTGCTATCAATGCAGGTCCTGTAAAAAATTAAAAAATATAAAAATAAAAATAAAAAAGATTTAAAATATAGATAAAAATCAAATTACAATATTACAAAATAGTTTCACTAAACAAAAGATCAAACAGTTATAAATTCTAAGAATTATTAAAAATTATTAAAAAATTTTTGCACCTTTGTAGAAAAAAGCGTGCTTGGTGCATTCTAAATTAATTTTTTCTAAAATAAGGTCATTATTATTTCTAGTTTTGTGGTGGTGAATGTCACGGTTTCTTACATTGAAATAATTAGAAAGGTATCTGGGAACTCTATCTGCAATGCACTCATCAACAAATCTTAAAATGTGCGTCCGTCTTCTATAATAGAGAGGTTCCAAGCCCAGTTTAGTCATTTTTAGTAACTTTCATTTCTTTCTCTCTTCAATAAGTAGAATATAAATATATTCAAATCCTATACTTACTTCATCTAGTAACAACTAGTATTATCAAGGTGAACGAACAAAACTTAATGAATCACAAGTTACCACAGTAAAGCATGCAACTACTTGTTTCCTACTTGGTTAATAAATTCTCCCACAATACCATTCTGACTGACACCGTAAGGTCAAGCAGGGAATAGGTCACAAGAGTGATCTTCCATCAACATATCATTGGTGTTTAAAGAGATGTCCAGAATGAACTTGTTAACTTTTATGGGGCTCTTCTTTCCACCATAATCTGCAAAAACCTTATGCTTTCTTCGAGAGAAGCACACTGCTCCAGTTATTGTTTCATCTCTTCCTTGTAATTGGCATTCAAAGAACTTTTCATTATACACAGGAGAAGCTTTATTTATGTAACCAACAAATTCATTGTTTTGTGTAGAAGTACTGGTGCTGTTAGTACATGTAGCTGGTTTTGAGTGATAGTCCATGACTGAAAAAGAAAAGAAAAAGTTATTAAATTACCTGTAAATAGATTGACTAGCAATGACTGTCAATACATAAAGAATGATTGTTGATTAGGAAACACAGCATGCTATATTGTTAAATCATTTGCAATATAACAAATCAACTAGTTGAAGTTTACCTGACAATGACTGTGAGAGGACAGGGAAGGGCACAGGGATTGGGACATTATTAAACATCACCAAATCTCTGTAGTTATTATATTACATACTAGTCCCTGTAGTATTCATCATATTACATCTAGGTGTGCTTGTATCATTCTTTTTATAACACTCAAGAAAGTTTACAGTGAAGTTATGTTTCTGTATCAAAACAGTTAATTAATGCACATATTGATTTGTGGTCTGAAAAATATGGTTTTTATTATGTGTAATTGTGCCTGAGATTCCTGCCAATTTTTATAAAGTGGTCTATAGCTGTTTTGTTGTGAGTGGTATATGTTGTGTATTCCGTATAAAAGGCCAGGAACACAGTAACTAGATCAAGATGGCGGAAGAACTATTTTTAATCTAAACAGAAAACCTCGTGTACAATACCAAATATGGAAAACAGGTCTCGTGACACTAACTTCTACGTAGAACAGGGAAACCAAAATTAGGAAAAATCTAACAATTTCCTCCCTTTTAAGACTAAATAGTACACTAATGAAAAGAAAGAATAAAACAAAATCCAAGAAACAAATTTCAAAGTATCTTAGATAACATGTTGGTACTGTGACCACAGAAAGAAAACACCACAGTTCCCTCTAGCCGCAAACATAGTCCTTCAACTTAGGAGGTGGTTTAACCAAACGACCGGTACGGGTGGTAATCAATTCAGGTTTCGGATCTAGTTGATGACCTTGTGGTTCTGGAGGGGAAAACTCCCCAATAGGCGTCACAGCCAAAGGTGGTGCATCCTTCCACTCAGTCTCCGTAGCTACAGGCGGTGTGTTATGTTCGACCTCCTCCGGAACAGCACAATCATCAATCGTTTCCGCGTCAGGTGGGCAAAGATTGCTATCCCGTAGCTGCTCGACATGACGTTTCCAGGTTTGGTCGTTTACCTTGACTTTGTACAGGACTGGACCCGTTTGTTCAATGACGGTGCCACGCACCCATTTTGGACCTCTGCGGTAGTTGCGGACCCATACGTTCTGGTCTTGGTCAAAAGACTTTAAAGTGCGGTCATTGGGCTGGAGCAACTTCTTGTTAACTTTTCTTGAAACATCCGGCTTAATCAGGTCCAACCTTGTCTTAACATTCCGACCCAGGAGAAGCTGTGCAGGGCTAAGCTCAGTAGTGGCGTGTGGCGCTGATCGATAAGCTAACAGGAACCTATCAAGCTTGTGTTGCAGGGTTCTACTGGACTTGTCAGCCTTAACTCCTTTCTTGAAACTCTGTACTAATCTTTCCTCCTGACCATTGGTTGATGGATGGTAAGGTGCACCAGTGACATGCTTTATACCGTTCGCAGTTATAAATTTCCTAAAGGTTTCAGACGTGAACTGTGGACCATTATCTGACACTATCTGGTCAGGGAGTCCCATGCGGGCAAACAGAGAGCGCAGCGTGCTAACGGTTTCTTCAGCAGTGGTGATCTCCATCACGAAAATCTCCGGCCACTTGCTGTGGGCATCGATCACTACCATGAGCATCTTTCCCTCGACTGGTCTGGCAAAGTCAATATGCAGTCTTTGCCAGGGAAGGGAAGGGTACTCCCATCGATGCAGGGGTGCACGGGCTGGATTATTTGCCAACTCTTGACATCCCTCACAGTTTCGGACGGCCCCTTCTATGTCCTTGTCAATGTTTGGCCACCAAACAAAACCCCGGGACAAACCCTTCATCTTGACCATACCAATGTGACCCTCGTGAAGCGTTTCCAAAACTCTCTCAGTTTGGCTGGGACGACTACTCTACTACCCCACATTAGAACTCCATGATGAATCGTGATTTCGTTACCGCGATGGGCATAGTGGATGAGCTCTGGGTGAAGTTCGGTCCCTTGCCATCCTGACTGCACACGCTCCAGAACACGGGAAAGTACTGGATCCCTACGGGTCTGCATTCTCAAGTCGTGCTCTGTAACGGGGAGGGCCTCGACAACGGTGGTATGGAATATTTCAACTTCATCGGGCTTGTCAGCGGGCGCTGATGGTTGGGGTAGGCGAGATAAACCATCACAATTGGCATGTTGCTTGGTACCTCGGAACTCGATATTGTATGAAAAAGCTCCTAGGAAGAGACACCAACGTTGAATCCTCGCTGCTGCTGTGACTGGCACAGCCTTCCCGGGGTCCATTATGTACTTCAAAGGCTGATGGTCGGTGACCAAGGTGAAGTGGCGACCCTCCAGGTACATTTGGAACTTCTTCACACCCCAGACCAAAGATAATGCTTCTTTCTCGATTTGCGAGAACTTCTTCTCTGTTTCGGACAGGGACCGGGACGCATAAGCGATAGGACGCTCTACTCCCTCAGCAGTACGGTGTGACAAGACCGCTCCGAGACCATACGAGGAGCTGTCTGTGGCAAGAACTAGTGGTGAGTCAGGGTCATAGCGCATCAGAACCCTATCCTGTAGCAACATTTCTTTCACCACAAGAAAACTAGTTTGTTCCGCAGCTCCCCACAACCACGTCACATCTTTCTGTAACAGCCGATGAAGTGGAGCAAGATGAGTGGCCAGATCGGGCAAGAATTTGGCGTAATACTGGACCATGCCAAGAAAAGCACGCAGTTGAGTAACATCCTGAGGTTTCGGCATCTCAGTGATAGCCTTTACTTTCTTTGGGGATTGGTGCAGTCCTTCTGCAGAGATGACGTGTCCTAGGTACTCCACAAAACTTCTAAGGAATTTACACTTTTCTCGGTTGGCTTTCAAACCATACTCTTCCAACCTCTTCAATACTGCGACTAACCGCTCCAGGTGTTCCTCTATGGTATGGCCGGTTATAATTATATCATCCAGGTAACAGAAAACCCCTGGTAGTCCTTGCAGGATCTGATCCATAGCTCGCTGCCAGATGGCTGGCGCCGAAGCTACACCATAAGGAAGGCGCTGGTACTGGAACAAACCACGGGTTGTGTTAATGGTGAGGAAAGGCCTGGAGTGCTCCTCAACCTCCATTTGTAAGTAAGCCTGACGAAGGTCAATGACGCTGAACAACGTTCCCCCACCTAGGCTGGCGTAAATATCATCAATGCGGGGAAGTGGGTACTCGTCTACCTCCAGCTGTGAATTGATGGTCACTTTGAAGTCACCACACACTCTTACACTGCCATCCTTCTTCACAGGTGTCACAATTGGAGCAGCCCACTCACTAGTAGCTACCTTCTTTATAACTCCTTCAGCTTCCAGCTCTCTCAATGCTTCGTCCACTGCTGGTTTACGAGCCAGCGCTACTGGGCGGGCTTTCCAGAATCGAGGCCGGGCATCCTCTTTAACTTGGATCCGTGCTTGGATATTCTTCATTTTGCCCAAACCTTCAGAGAAAACATCTCCATGCTTACTCAGGACATCTTCCAGGGCTGGAATGGTGTCGGATGTTTCCAGACGAAGTAAGGGCCAGTCCAGATGGATAGATTCCAGCCATTCTCTGCCAAAAAGGGTGGGTCCCTCATTCTTCACTACATATATGGGAAGTTTCTTTGACTGTCCCTGATACTGCACAGTCACATGGCAAAACCCCATAGGCTTCACTGACTCTCCTGTGTATGTGCGCAACTTCAAGGAGGTGTCCTTTAAAGGAATGTGGCGGAGGTAATCCAAATACACCCTCTCACTCATGACTGACGCCACTGAACCTGTATCCAGCTCCATAGTCACTGGGCGGCCTTCAAGGTAGATCTTAAGTGAAATGGGCTTTGTGTTTTTAATGTCTGAGACATGGTACAGGTTCCCAAATTCTCCATCACTTTCTTCGGAATCATCACCCTCCATGACATTTATTCCAGCCTCAGTCATCTGTGAGGTGGCCTGTCTCTTCCTACATGCTCTCTGTGTATGTCCAATGATGCCACAATGAAAACAGTGTTCTTTCATGAAGGGACACTTTTGTGAGTTATGTGACCCTGAACAGCGGTAACAAGGTTTAGACTTCTTACTGTCCTTACCTCGGGGACCCTTGGCCCTAGGTGGTGGCTTGGATATGGCTTGTTCTTCCCCAGTTTTGACAGTGTCAAGTTTATTGATTGGGGTGCCTGGCCCTTGTTCTCCCTGAAGCACCTGAACATCTTTATTAGCCTGCTCAATGGCCAAACACTTTTGAACCACGAGATCAAATGAAAGGTCGGCGAGTTTTACTTTCAACAATTCCGTAATCATCTTCGAGTCGCGGATACCTGAAACTAATCGGTCACGAAGGCGCTCGGTTCGCATGGCCTCTCCAAACTTACATTCTGTGGCCAAGTGCTTCAGCGTGGCTACATAATGACTAACTGACTCACCAGAATTCCTGGCTCGGTTGTCGAACTCATACCTCGCAACCAGCGCTGATCTTTCAGGTTTCAGTTGTTCCCGCATTCGCTCCACGATGATCTCATGGGTAATGGCGTCATCTTTCAGTTGTGTGGGGGCCACTAAATCCTTCGCCAATTGGTAAGTTTCCACCGGAAGGTTCGTCAAAAGTACGGCCTTCATTGTTTTAGGTTCCTTGATTCCATTTGCAAGAAAGTAAAAATCCAGTTGTTCGGTGTAGGACTCCCAATCCGCTCCCACCACAAACTTTGTCACTTTGCCGATGGCTTGACTCGTGTTAGCGCTCGGTGCTTCGTCTGGCATAATTTTATTTTCGTCGTCTCTGTCCCTTTTTGAACGTGATTTGTACGACCCACTCCTGTTAACCGCTTGTGCTTGATCAAAGGAATCCCATCCTCGTCGCCAATTGTTGTGTATTCCGTATAAAAGGCCAGGAACACAGTAACTAGATCAAGATGGCGGAAGAACTATTTTTAATCTAAAAAGAAAACCTCGTGTACAATACCAAATATGGAAAACAGGTCTTGTGACACTAACTTCTACGTAGAACAGGGAAACCAAAATTAGGAAAAATCTAACAGTATACAAAGATATCAATTGCCTGTAGTTATTTTCTGTAATAAACAGATTATGTAGGGGAACTGTCTGTTTCATTTAACCAATTTAGATTAAAATCTCCAATGAAAACATTGTACTTGTAATGGCTCTGAGTGGGTTGCTGAATTGATTTTATTCCGATAATTAGGACATGTGTACACGATAATTTGGTTACTGACCCGAGCACATGGAACACACTCTAACACACTCTCGACGCGCATGCTCACTCATTTGCACAAATGCATCTCATTACAGTACTGTGTAGTTTGTAGGATAATTATCAACATACTTTTCAATATGTAAAACCTGAAGTAATGCCCAAAGATCATAAACAACATGAAAAATATCTGAAGTTAAAAAAATTAACAAGAAGAGATATCAATCAAAATGGGTAAACATGAATATCAATGTGAAGAATATAATCAAAAAATGAAAATGAATAAGTATCACCATAGTAAAACTAGTTAATGATCAGGAAATGATGCTTCTGGATCATTGAATGTTACTCTGTGAATAATGTATGTTTTCAACGAACGAATTGCTATTCATTAGCAGTTATCTATTTATTTATTTATTGCAATTCATGGCACATACAATACAAAATAACTAAACTAAAATAATTATTAATGATAAATAGTACAGCCAAAGGATAATCCATAAAGTCAAAGACCCTATACAAAGACAGATCACCATAATATAAATATATATATATATATATATATATGTTAAAGAATAAAGGAGGACGCATCGATTCTCTGTGACTCTGAGTTTTGCGCCTAAGCGCTTGTCAGACAGAACTTTATTCAATGAAGAACATACCTGCTTATATTCAAATTAGATAAGTAGCTAATTAATTCACTAGTGTGATGATCTAATCTACGTGTGAAATAAAGCTTCTACAGAGCTATTGTTGGCGGCTTGTGAAATTTGCTAAGTAAAACTTATGGTCGTGGCAGCATTTAGAAATGAGTTCTGTTCTTTTTTTTAATAAGGACGGCTTCTTAGCTCTAACTTAAATAAAGTCCTTCTGTGAGGCACAAGTGGCATCGCTTGCTTTTGTTGCTGTAGGCCAGGGCAGTCGCTAAAATACTCCAGTTAATTGTAAAATTGGTTTTGTTCTCTTTGAGTGTCCAGATATGCTTTGATAGTTCCTTACTGTTTGAATAGTTTCTGTTCCGAAAAGAAAGTTTGTGTTGCGTGTAATGTTGTTTAAGAGTTCCTTCTGTTAGTCCAATGTAATTCATTCGGGTTGTGTCACTTTCTGTTGTTACATTGGTGTTGAAGATGATGCTTGTAGTGAGGCAGTTGTTTTTCAGAGGGCAGTCGTTTTTTTCCTGCAGTTACAGATGTTTTCCATGGAGGGTGTCTTGCTTGTCTCGAGGAATTTTTCTGTTGTGTTTCTTAATTATGGTTTGTAGGTTGTCTGTGCGGCCATAACTAACTTTTATGTTGTTTTTGTTGAAAATCTTGTTGAACCGGTGATTTTTCGGAAAATGTTTACTGACGAGGTTCAGAAACTTTGCCGATGTTTGTTTGTACGTTCATGCTGTAGGGTGGATTAAACCAAATTATGTTTCTTTCTCTGTTCTTGCGGCTGTTCTGTATGGTGTGAGTTACGGGTTTCTTGTATTCAGTGTAGGTTAATTTTTTGTCCTTTCCACTTTGTTTAAGTGCACTTTCGTAGTGTGGTTTGGCTGATATGTGATGGTGTATTTTATGCAAATTTTAGAAGGAAATGGTAATATAAGGAAATAAGACCTTCTGATGTTATACATGCAAAGGATATGCTACTAATTCATATTAAAGGCATTTACAGATTGAGTTCAAAGTTCTAGATCTGCCTCTAGATACCCCACATAATTGCCACTCTTGTCTGGAAATGTTACTGTGTGGTGTTAATGATGCATGCTGGCATGATTCTCTGACAGTTTTTCCCCAACACTCCACATGCCCACTAAGTAAATTGTCTGTAGGCTGCCAACGCCATGTTCTAGGGTTAAGAATTGTATTGAGCTGTGCATTGTGCATTGTGACTGATGCTGTGCTCAAAACATCCATGTCCAGGCATATGATGCTAAATTTCAGATGTTCAGTTATACATGTTACACCTATCAGTACCCAAAAAGAAGAAAAAAGTCTTAACGTTTTCTTTTCCTCACTCCTTAAATAATTTGTCTATCAGATGAAAATTAACAACTTGTAAGTGTTATTATAACTACAATTAAGTTTGCAATTGTCAACCTTTTGCCATTCTTAGCAAAGAAGCAAAGAATAATCATGTACCGTAATTTCCGGTCGTTTACCCGCGGGTAATCTGTTGATTTTGCATTAAACGCGCGCCACTGCGGGTAATAGGGAGGTGCGGGTTATGTGACAATTTTAAAATCCAGTGGTAGTTGAATTGAAAAAAAAAATATCACCAACATGCGTTTCCACCTCTCAAGTAAATTTTATTGTGTTAATAGTGCCGCAAAGCGGCACGAAAACATGATGCCGACTCGAGTTTATTTCACGCATAATTAGTTGCGCGACGAACAAATTATTATCGGCACGCGTGAAAACAAAACCTTGATGGTGACAAAAAATATCCATAGATATCCGGCGCATTAGTAACAAATTTCCATTCACTGCCACAGTTCTGACAAAGACTGTTTTCTGACTGCCAGGTTTTTTTTACTAGTAACCTCAAAAAATCACTCTCAATCTTTAATTGCTTATATCTCATTCAGTTTTTAAGATATTAAAATGAAATTTTCAGGATAGTATCTGGAACAAACAAAAATTTTTCCTACGTTGTCAGGGGGGGTGATCGGGTCATGTGACCTGACTTTCATTGCAAGGCATTATGGGTTTCTTAAAAATAACTATTTCACATTAAATTTCCCTTTCATTTCTCTCTGTATTTTTTACCTAATACACTGAAAGGACTTAACTCAGCTGAACAATCTCTTCATCATAACTTTACAAAGTTACATTCAAGCATAAAGGCTAATATTCTTCCTAAAAAGTGATTTTTAGCAACAAGTTTGCTGTTGCACCACTAACAAATAATGACAGTGAATTTTATAAAGACAAAGAAACAAATATGTCTTAATATATTCTCCATCATAACAAACATGAGGGTTTATGTGTCATATCACACAGTGTGTTGTGTACAAGTGATACTGAGCAGTACCATAGTGTAATGTTTACAAGTTATACTGACGCAAAGTGTGATAACGTTCAAAACAAGGAACAATGCATAATGCTATATCACACTGCTTGCAATAAAAAGAAGTTTGCACCCTTTTCTTATTTTTCCTGTCAGAGCAAACCCGACAATCAAGTTTTTGCTTGGGGTTCTCATTTTTTCCTAGGAAATGGCGTCCAGTAAGTCTTAGAGGGTCTGGGGTATCTGAGGGCCTCCCATTTTGAGGCTGAGGCGGGTTCCAGTCCCTCAAAAGCCCAGTTATTACTTGCTCTCTAAACTTTTTAGGGTTAACTCTTTTAGTGGAGTTTGCCTTCTTGTAAAGAATAAACCCAGTTACGAGGGCAATTTCCCTGGCCCTATGGAAAAGGGTATGATACCATTTGACACACTTGTGAGGAAATTGGTATGTGCCTAGCATTTGGTCAAGGGTGTCGACCCCACCCATGTTTGAATTGTTTCGATCAGCGATTACTGGCTTTTCAACTTCCCTATAACCCCCTTCCCCATTCTTACTTCTAACAGCCTTGTCTACTGTCAAATTATTCTCAACAGTACTCAAAAAGGTAACACGTTTTGTGTCTTGCCATGCACTGGCAACAAGATTATCTGAACGCATAAAAACAGGCGGTTCTCCCTTTTTTAGAGACAATCTTGATGGCAAGAGCTCTTTTGGCATTTGTTTCCGATTTACTTTCACAGTTCCACAGGCACCAATGTTCTCTTGCTCCAATTTCTTGAATAGAGATGGAGCAGAATAATAATTGTCCATGTAAACAATGTGGCCCTTGTCCTCGTATCCTTGCACTAATGACAAAACAACCTGTTCCGAAAGGCTGACCCCTTTATATCAAGGAAATGATGCTTTGCCAGTGTAGACAATGGACCTCAGGCAATAGCCAGTTTTTGCCTCAGCAAGCACAAACTGCTTGATCCCCCACCTTGTGGGCTTGGCTGGAAGGTACTGCCGAAAAAATAGTCTCCCCTTGTACTTTCATCCAAGGAAAGGTCACGTGCTGGCTGATACCACTTTTCATAAGTTGGGTTGACTATGTCCAACAAAGGTTGAATCTTGAATAAAGGATTGTAACCTTCTTCACCCCTGGCAATTTGGTTTTCAATATTGTTAAAATGCAGAAATGCTTGTAACAGTTCAAACCTGTTGCGTGACATCACAGATGAAAATGGCAGGGCTGTCAACCAAAATCCACTCCAATAATCAGCATGGGCTGGTTTCTGGCAAAGCCCCATTGCAATTTGCAAAGCGAAAAAGGCTTTTATTTCATTAGGAGATGTGTCTTTCCAGGCTCGAAAACGAGAACAAGGCTCAAAATCAGCAGGTGTATCTAAATACTGTTGTGCATACCTGTTTGTCTCCCTTGAAATCAGTTCAAAAGCTTCATTTGGGAAGAAGAGATAAAAAAAGGCTGGGACATAATTAGATGCATCAACAAGTATTCCCGGCCGTTTGTCAAAATTTTGAAGCCATGTGGACTCGAACGGATCAATATCCTCGTAAAATTCCTACTCTATTTCTTGCTCACAAGCGATACCACGTCTAGCTCCTCGTGCTCGCTGCAAATTTTCCTCATCGGCTGACGTGTCAGTGTCGAAATCATCAATGCTATTCTCCATTTCACCTTCGGAAGCCGATTCCATGTTGATTTCAGTGTCACTGGCGCTTTCGCTTTCTGAACCACTTGCTTCTTCTTCCATTTCAGAGTCACTGTCGCCAAAAATAGTATCCAAAGCCTCTTCAACATTAAACCTTCGATTAGACGCCATATTTAAATGCCCAAAGTTGTTAACAAATAAAAAATATGGATTTCTCGAGTCAAATATGAGCTAAATTTGCTTCGTTTCGAGTCGAAAATGAAACCAGCACGTGTTTTGATTAACCTGATCTAAGAAGCTATTTCATTGGTTAGTTAGAACAGGGACTATGATTCGTTCATTTTAATGCTATTGTTTGGGCGACTAAAGTCACCCATGGTGGTCTATAGGTAAGGCGATTAAAGTCGCCCATGGCAGTGAAAGGGTTAATACTAGCTTGAGATAAAGAGAATTTTCCCGTTTTAAGGGACTTGTTAGGCCCAATAGAACCGGAGATATCGATTTTTCCAGAAATCGCCGACAGTACTTTATAATTCAAGTTTTAATGCTCACCCAGCTTTTTTTCAACAAATCAACACGGCGCTGAACAATCGCTCGCACAAAATGTGGCCACAAATTCGCATTCTGTCAAGTATGAAACGTTGAGATTTGGGCATGGGCCGCTAGTGTTTTTACTGTATAATCTTATCAATAAAGTACATGCTAATATTGACACAGAATTGTGCACGCGTCTGAATTTCTTTGACCTTAAAACTCGACAAAGAAAGTTTTCGAAAGTTGGATCAGACAACTTTTAAAAGACTGAAATGTATCACCTTAATGTCATGTTTTCGCCACCAAAAAGTTGAATAACAACGTGCGGGTTATCCACCAGAGCGGGTAATCTGTTGACTTTTTTTTTCGCCGTATGCAATAATCGGCCGGTGCGGGTAATCGGCCGTGCGGGTAAACGACCGGAAATTACGGTAATAGGTACAAACCTGAATAGTTGAATTTTTGATTAAGCTCCTTTAGTTCCTGGCAGCAGTAACATTCCTCTGCCAAAGACATAGGCACACAAACACTGCACAAACACCAAGACCTTAGTCTTGGATTAAAGTTGTAAATGCATTAAAATTGCCTCACATTACATGCCATGTTCCTCTCTGCACTTTAAGCAGCACCATCTGATCCCTGAAAAGGTGATAGATATCATAAAATCAACACATAGCACAAAGCTATGTATAGCACAAAACTATTACAAAAGTTTTGACTACTACAGAAAAAGAAACACCGTAAATCACTACCCATAACAACAACAACAACTTTTTTTTTTCACCTCAAAATATACAAGAAAGAAAAATTTATAATAATAGTACAGACAATGATAGGGGCGCTGGCTGCCCGAAATAACCTAAGAGTTAAAAATGCCAGGCAGCCAGTTGAAAGAAAAGATGTTTAAATGTTTAGGTCAGGGACACAAAAACAAAGAGATACAGAAACGCACACAAAGGTAAACTACCAGTATATTAAAGAGACTAAAATTCATACATTGCAAAACAGTATTATTTCCATTTTAAAGTTACACAGACAATACAGATGTCTAGTAATCTTTGATAAATTGCTGCTTTACTTTCTTTTTAAACAAAGACGATGAAGATAATTTTATATCTTCGTCAATGGAATTCCATACTGATACCTATCAACAAGCAATGTAATCTACCTGTGGCTTCTCCAGAAAATTGGTGCAAACATATAAATGAATGTTAATTTAGCCTAAATGCACACTGTTTCCAAGATTAGTTTTAGTGCTATACAACGTAAAAAATTCATAAGTTCCTCCCATGTGGCAGCTTAGTCAACAAAACTTAAGTAAAGCTTCTTCAACTCTTGCAATGTTTCTTTTCTACATGTAACCTAAATGACATTTTCCAGCTTTGACTTCTACTAACTGCATCCCAAATGCCAGATGACCCTCCAAGTAGGCCAACTGTTCTTGCAATAGATCTGATACAGAGCCATCATTAAATGTAAGCTACAATGAAATTTTTGTAAGCCTTAACACTGAAATAGCACAAAGTTGCAACAAAAATACCTCTATTGAATCAGTTGAACAAGGCTTTCTCATGGATCGCAATTGCCCTTGTTCCCACATTTTCCCAAATTGAAGAGGCTTCTAAGCGCATATATGTTTATGGAAGATGCATATTGTATGAACCTTAGGTGTGATCCACTTCCTGGAATCCTGGATCTGAGACATCCTTGGATTCCTTTACATGGGGTGATGCATCATTTAAGTTGACAATGAAACATAACTAACTATCCCTCGAGAGTCATGCTTATCAATTTATGACAATAAGTTTTAATGCTATATGATTAAACGGAATTATCTACTCCAATCCAAGACAAAATCGGAAACTTTTCACATGTTTTTTTTTCTATATGGTATTGAAATGCACCAGTGTGGGGAAAGCTTTCCCCACAACATTTAAGGTGGCTCGACTGGATTTTTCAAAAGTCATACTGTTCAAGTTTGAAAATTAACTACGACGCCACGAGCAACGTTATGGTAAAACAATTACCACAGCTGTATTACAAAAAGATGAAAGTTTGTTGTGATTGGTGTTATGTTGACATCGGAGTTTCCATAGCAAGGTAATGACGTCATGACAGTTTTTGCTTTCGTTCGTATTTCTCAGTACCATGAGGTTTTTTCGTAAATCGCTCACTGGAGCTTTTATCTCTTGTTATTGCCTAGATGTTGGCCAAGTTTGAACAAATTCAATGAGAGCATTTTTGAAAATTTTGAGGATGAAGTTTTGAGGGTTAAAAATACAGTAAAAACATTGTTGTCGAGATAATTTGGTGATATCTAAAGAAAACGATGCGCCTTGGGAATGCCGCTATACCACGTAGTTGCTTTATTCCACTTCAAATTGTATGTAAAAAGTTGGCGAGATTGCTCTTACCGATTGTGAGAAAAAGGGTTTGATGCCTTTGCATTCAGATGCTCTTGTTGTCATTTTTGCGTATAATTTGGTCTATGCCAACAAATATTGTAATATTTTAAAAACTGCTCGATAGATTTTTTTAAAAAATCGTCAGTGCTAAGTTGTATTTTCATTGTATACGGCCTGCAGTTTTCAAGGTTATTGAAAATGTGGAAGTTAATAAAATTGGGCCTCAAAAGTACTAATTTGTTATCCCCCATATCGTGTTTACAAGTGAGCGACCTCATTATTCACAGGCATTGTTTTAAATTCTCATATCCGCGTGCACAACTTCAGCAAAAAATGAATTTGCATCAATTAGAAAGTTCGACTGCATTCGGAGATTTTTTCCGAAACATGTTAATATAAACTGAAATTTTAATGAGCTGATTTTTAAAGGCATTTGTCACGCAATTATGCTGTAATGCAGCAATGCCGAGGGTATCTCTGACGAGGAAACGGAAAACTGTTGCTCTGCAGAAAAACCAACTGACCGAGCACTCGCAAAGAAAGCTCCACGGAGCTCGTGAAAACAATTAACAGTTGTCTCGGAGCTAGAAAATCATTCACAGACGAGGACAGACGAGGAAAAAAAGCCATATATTTTGTTTATTTATTTTCTCACCGTGGCATAGTCGCGTTTCCTTTTATTTAAATTTGTATTACATGTCTTATCTGAAATGTTCATTTAATTACCAAGTATTATTGTTTAACAATTATAATATACAGAATCATATATGTATTTATATAAGCGATTATTCTTAAATAAATATTATAACTTTAACAAACGTGAATCGGGAAGATAAAAGTCAATAAACAATTTTCTGAACAAACTCTGATATTCTTTCTTTTTTTCTAATTTTTACATCGATCACCTGAAACTGCAAGGAGAGGCATTGCTGCCAACTAATGATAATAACATTCACCACTGAGATATTACATCTCTAAACAAAACTATAATTATCTAATGTCTCCTTAGAAAAAAAATACTAATAGCCAACATAATCTTAGCAAAATAAAAAATATACAACAAGGGGGTTTGGTTCGGCATTTGCGACAGTATTATCCTGTAAGTTGTCTGTAACAAACTTTGACGAGCTTTCTTTTTCTTGCTTTTAAATCATAATCACCAAGACATTCCCGCCGGTAAATGAAAACATCGATATCATTCATCAATGAAAACCTTAATCTAAGATTGCATTCGTACAAAATAGTTAACCACTGCTGTGAGTATGTTTAGGTTTTTCGTCACCCTTGGCTTACTCCGCTTTTCTTGAATTTGCTCAAAGGACTCTGGAAGAGCTAGCACCGCTAACAGAGCTTTCGTTCCACCTTTCTTGTAAACACCCTGCATTGTTTCGTAGTCAAGCCCGGCCTTTCCCATTTTCTCCTTCATTCCTTCGGAGACCGGGAGGCGATGCAGCGTGGACTTTCGGGATTTTGCCTCTTGTGCTGAGTTCATTTTTTTTACGAACAGTTCTGCAGGAACTGCGTGCGTCTGAATTCTTTCAACAGATACTTGCAGAGGGGACTGAAATAAAATACGCGACAAGGCGGTAGCATCTTCTTGTGCATCATGTGCATCAAACTTTTCTTTCAGTAAAACTTCGTAAACGTCGGACAAAGATTTGCTCTTGCAGGAATACAAAGGGCTACCTTTCTGCTTCATTTCTGTCGAAACAATCTTTAGAGAGTCCACAAGGACAACACCAGTAGCCAGGAACAATTCAAGGAGATTGTTCCTTCTCAGAGCATTGATCAGAACTGGGAAGTCAAACTTTTCACCATTGTGTGCAATAAGGACAACTTGGAAGGAACGGGACTGCTGTTTTAGGAAACTGCAAAAATCACTGAGACCCTGAGTTTGCGATACGGCCTCCAGTTCTTTCCCTCTTCTCAATAATGTTTTTCTGCCCTTACAAAACTCTACACTTATACCGTGGACTTGCGTCGCTGACTGGCCAATAATTCGATTTTCTGGAAAAGGTTTACCGAAAATGATTTGGTTTCAGCATTTGGTGGAATGCATGAAATCTGCAGAATATCCGATTTCCGGTCTAGACCTGTTGTTTCTATGTCGAGGGCCAAATGAAGAAAACGTGAACGTTGTTGGATTACAGGTAACTCGGAGACTTCCTGGCTGTTCCCTTCGTTGGATTTTGGGAGATCATCGGTATAATCATTAAACTCCTCCTTTGTCAGACATGCCTTTAGATCGTTCATGGTTGCATTCGTGATGGCGGCTTTCTCTTTGTCGCTCTGTTGCCAGCCGATCCCTGTCTCGTACGTTGCTGACTCGCGTTTCTCAGCAGAATTGGTCTTTTGATTCTTTTTCTTTCGAGAGTTTCTTCTCGCTTTTTTGAACTCTTTTGTTGACTTTCGCTCGCCATCCCTTTTCCTTTTCTTGTCAATTTTGTCGGTGTTCTGTTCTGTGATATGCGTCTGTGCCAGACCCATTTTTTCCGTGGCTAATGTCAGATATCTGTTCCCTTTGTTAAACTGAGCTATTCCTGCAGCGGTTCTAAAGTCGCTGCTTTGCGAGCCTCCATAATGTCTTATTTTCGGCGCTTTCGAGCCAATGGAACTGTTTACACTTTCATTTCTCTGTGATGAGCCCGCTGGGGCCAGCTTTTTCACGGAGTCATGAGAAAGAAATGGTCGAATAGCTTCTTCCAAGGTTGCACGTAAATCTTCGCCCGTCAGGTCCTTGCCTCCTGGAAGACTTCCGTGCTTGTAGCCTTCAGGGTCTTTTTTGTATCCACACCAGGAATTGCTGCAGTTATCGTGTTTGCCAAACGCGTGTGGTACGATAGAGGTGAGCCCTTCGAGTAATGAGGATGGCTGGCCCTTGTTTTGGTTAACACAGTAGGTGAAGCTCTTTTGGATGTAGGATATCACGTTAGGAGTCAACCCTTTAATCTTTCCTTTAGCCATGTATAATCTCGTTCCCAGTGTACGACTTGCATGATTCACATCACTCCATTTATCAATGTCGTAGTTAACCAGCGTTTTGAGATGGTTTTCTGTGACGCTGTCGTCATCTCCCACATAAGTCGAGTAAATCACTCCACTTTTCGGGGCGCTTGAAAAAAGCTCGACTGCTACGTTTGCCTCCATACTTTTCGAGGATCCTTCGTGGTTTTTTCGACAGTCGTGGCTTTCTGCTTCTTTATTATTTTTCTCCGCTTCGTCACAAACCCTACACATTTTATTGCGAGTAGCATAACTAATGACTTTTCCGGTATGTAACCCCACTGCTGTGCCCACTCCTGACGACGAGTCGTGACAACGTCCTCGCTTTCTCCAGCCCATATCGTACGACACTCCGAGTTTTACTACTTCCTCATTTCCAGTCGTGGACAACCGCTTTTCTTCCTCATTAAACTGATTACAAGAATCTTTAGCCACTTCTTCTACTGCTTTTCCACTTTCTCTTTCCCGCTTTTTGAAATTGCTTGAGGAAATTGATGGTACACCAAGTGTTGTAAGAAATCCAGAGGTATGCGTATGTCCCAATCCACAATGCAGTGCACCAAGCCCAGCACGGGAATTAGCGTCGAAGGTGGGAGGGCCTCTTTTTCCAGTACGATGATGCTCGGCCGGGCGTACGATGTTAATAAACTCACATTGTGTGCATTTAACTTTTAGTACTGGACACACTCCTTCCGGGCGAACATTAAAACTATTACGTAAATCTAGGGGTCCTTGTTTACAATTCACACACTCGCTCAAAGCGGTTGTTAGCATTTCCAAATTAACCACATAACACTGATCCATGTTTACAGCTTTTGTGTACGGCAGACTTGATCTCAAGGTGGGTCCCTCCGGAACATTGTCGGCTGTATTGCCTAAACTTATTTCATTTCTAACTTTATCACTCCATCGCTGCTCTCTCATTGCCTTGCATTGTTCTTTCCTAACCGTTTTGGATCTGTAATTAGCTGGACGCCCTGGTTGAGACTGTAGCTGCTCCTCAGCATCCTGTAAACAAAATTTACTAGTTATATAACAAATCACTGACAAATGGAGACCCTCATTGAAATAATGTAGAAAATCGTTATGAAAACATCCATACCTGTGATTCACTTCGTCTAGCCTTCTTTCCTACGGCCACGTTGTTCTGCAGAACAGCAGTTTTCCTTTTTCTAGTCAGAGATTCTCTCGGCATTGCTGCATTACCGAATAATTGCGTGACTAATGCTAAAATTTCAGTTCATATTAGCATGCTTCGGAAAAATATCCGAAAGTAGTCGAGCTTTCTCTTTAATGCAAATGCATTTTTCGCTAAAGTTGTGCACATGGATATGAGAATTTAAAACAATGTCTCTGAATAATGAGGTCGCTCACTTGTAAACACGATATGGGGAGTAACAAATTAGTACGTTTGAGGCCCAATTTTATTGACTTCCACATTTTCAATAACCTTGAAAACTGCAGGCCGTATACAATGAAAATACAACTTAGCACTGACGATTTTTTAAAAAAATCTATCGAGCAGTTTTTAAAATATTACAATATTTGTTGGCATAGACCAAATTATACGCAAAAATGACAACAAGAGCATCTGAATGCAAAGGCATCAAACCCTTTTTTCTCACAATCGGTAAGAGCAATCTCGCCAACTTTTTACATACAATTTGAAGTGGAATAAAGCAACTACGTGGTATAGCGGCATTCCCAAGGCGCATCGTTTTCTTTAGATATCACCAAATTATCTCGACAACAATGTTTTTACTGTATTTTTAACCCTCAAAACTTCATCCTCAAAATTTTCAAAAATGCTCTCATTGAATTTGTTCAAACTTGGCCAACATCTAAGCAATAACAAGAGATAAAAGCTCCAGTGAGCGATTTACGAAAAAACCTCATGGTACTGAGAAATACGAACGAAAGCAAAAACTGTCATGACGTCAT